CGGTGATGTGCCTCCCCTTTCCCTTCCTCCGTTCCGGTTTGCCCTCCCGGCTGGCGCGCAACACCCTCACGGCATCAACCCGGCGCGACGCGGCGCCCGTTGGCGTCATAACGGGTGGCCAGATAGAAAGAAGTCGCTGATGCTCCGCTCCGATCGATCGCCGCACGAACGGCGGACTCCCTGACGCTTTCGGGACGATAACCTTGATCTTGATCCGTAAATTTCGGTGCTATCGCCGTACCATACGTCATCGGATTAATGTTAGAGAGAGAGGAGAGAGAGAGAGAGAGAGAGAGAGAGAGAGAGAGAGAGAGAGAGAGATGTGCGTTAGATAAGTTGGAAAATTTGCAACAAAATTAGAAAATACGTCTCTTTCTTTTATACGCGAGAACAGGGCTTTCTTAGGTGCACGCATACAGTGACCATCATATTTTCTTAGACCCGGTTTTTCGTCATCCAGTTTAGACTTAATCTTACATATGAAAATCACGTTTTTCTAGTTACAACCAATCACTAAACTGATGATTTTGTTATAATAACTTTAAAACTCAGTTTTTCTTTATCTGATTAACTTGTAGTTGAGCTTAATGATTTTCACCCAAATAGACGTCATCCAGAACATCATCATAGATGAATCATCATAGATGTTAAACCTAACCTAACCGCAAGTTAACGAGAAAATGAAAAACTGTGCCATAGAGAAAATAAATAATAAATCTGAAATTTTAGAACTTTATTCCTAAACATTTTCAAACTAGTTTGCGATTATCAGAAGTCTGTGCATTAATTTCTGAAAATTTTTTGCACAATATATCTGAGATAATTTCCAAGTAAGCACGAGTCATCACAACATCAAAATGATGATTATTAAGAGTCACTTCTTAATCAATCACGACTTACTTTGATGATATTTTAATATTATTGTGTCTTTATTGTTCTGCTTGAGCTAATATTGCCTTTGCATGAAACTAAATTTGTTGGTTGTTTCTAAAATTTGCTTATTAATACATTATAATGCTAATTAGAGTAGAATTTCTCGCAATATTATTAAAATTGAGTTTAAAAAAAAATAAATAAATGTAAAAAACAGCTGCCTGAAATAAAAGACTATTCTTTCTTTACAATAAAAAATGTATGGCCACTGTAGTAAAATATTTTTTTTCTGAAAAAAAAAAAACGATTTTCGATATTGCGTTGCGATAAACTGATAGAGTCAACATTATTGCTCTTTATCGATAAATATATGCTGCAAATACATTTTGCGCGACGCCTCGCGATAAATAATGCAAAGCCGAAAGCGGCAGCTGTGGGACAATCGGACGTAAAACCGTAACCAATTATAGACGAACACAGGTTGCATACCATAACCTATGATACACTGTAGTTTGCGACGAATCAATAAAATATCCATCTATTATAACGGTAAAACGTGACGCCTCTTATCACATATTGTTTCCTAGAAGCTATTTTAGTTCGCTCGACGCATTCGACGCAGTCAAATTCGCGTGATGTATTATTTTCCGAAATAGAACTTCCCTAAATATTATTATTGCTCTCTTTCACAAAATGTATAAAGTGTACTTCGAAAGCTGCAATTGTTCAAAGGAAAATACAAAAATATAGAAATTAAACGTAAAATGTAAATGAGATGTATTTAGTAGGATGTAAAATGAGTCTATTCTTATTTAGAAAATATACATAAATTCATAAGATTAAATAATATATTCATAAAATAAATTCATGTACCAAATAAATTTATAAAATTGAATTTATTATATTTCGTAAATAAGAATAGACTCATTTTGCACTCTACTAACTGCGCTTGACTCTCATTTGCCCTGTACATTTTGCCCTTAACTCTCCATTGGACATTTTCATCCTTGCAATTGCAACCTGGATCTCTGAATTTTAATGCAGATTTTTATATTGTTCTGTACTGCATAAAAATCTAAAAAAAATTCTTACATACTTGTGAAAGCTTAACGAGTTTTCACTGCTACAGAAGTTAGATTGTACTTTATTCATTTTTTATATTTAAATTTATCTACCAGAATACATAATAAAAAGATAAGAATAATTGTATCTTCTCTAAAGAAAAGATAATTGTATCTTTAAAGCCTAATATATATTACCGGTGCAAAAACACAACTTTTTTATTTATTTTAAATTCTGATAAATTTAAAAATTAATTTTTAATTTTAAAATTAATAACTAAATTAATATTTTCTTAAATTAATATAGCATATTATGCAAAAATATACTTTAAATATATTTTATTGCAAAGCACTATTTATCTTGTTAATTATTCGGGAGATCAAATTAATTGACTTTTGCGCGAGGAATATCTCGTAGCATTTCAATTTTCTCAGCTGGATATGCACGAAATAGAAAAACTTTATTCAATTATTCTAAATAGTATTATTCATTCTCTCTTTCGTTGGAGAGAGAGAGAGAGAGAGAGAGAGAGAGAGATCATATCAAGAAAAGATTAAACGTATTAGAGAAAATTAACTGTATTAAAAAAATGTTCTACAATGTGAGTAATTGGAAATGTGAATCATTTATCTATAACACGTGTGTGCATGTTGAAAAAAGAAACAATGAGCGTGAAAACCTCGGGGATGTGGACGCCAGGTGAGGATATAAGAGATAATGAGGAAAAGTATGCCGGTTGCGAGGGAGAGAATCTTTTACATTCGTGAGAAAATTTTCTACACGCAGTAGTTTTCCCCGTTTGTGTGGAGATCGCGGTTTTGCTTTTCTTTCATTGGGCGTTCATATAACGACGTTTGTGTGCTTTCTTATTCTATATGTCCGTGTCGTAATTCAACCATAATGTGTAACTCGTATCTACATTCTCTACATATCATTTGTTAATCATATAAAATTATCGTGCACAGTAAAATCCGTTTTATACCTGGGTTTAAATCAGTCCACTCAAGTCCTCGTTGAATTTTTAACATATCCGAGTGTTAATTTAACATAATGCAATTTAAAAAATGTTGTTTAAATATTTCATGTTAAATTGATATTCAACATTTTTTTACTGCCAAAATAACACAATTATGAACAAATAACATAAAAATAATGCATTTTAAAACGTAAATTCTAAAATAATTGAATAAAATACATGTTAATTCGACATATAAATGTTAATGTAATTAAAAAAATATTCTTCCACAATTTTCTTACGAATTATGTCAGTGTTACACTTTTATGTTAATTTTTTTACATAATATTTGTATTACTTTTAACATATTCATCGTGTATTAAATTAACATAGAAATCTGAGTGAACTGTTTTGGAATACGTGAAATTTAACACATATTTTCCAACTATGTAGCTCGTATTACATTAGCGAAAAACGCGATATAATAGAAACATTACATAATTGAAAGTGATGAGCTGTAGGTACGATTGCGAGAAAGCGCTTGAAAATATCGTGGAATCGCCTTGTATATGCGTGTCGAATATAAATTAATGAAAACATTTTGCACCAGTTCGTTATATAAAGATTATTATGTAGGAAGAGAGCTTTTGCTAGAAATCAAAGTAAACGTTCGCAACAGATGTAATGTGGTAATGCGCGGTGAAATTTACATTGCGTAAACGTACTTGCCTGTGCTCACAGCAATTCATCCTAAATACACCATGATACACGAAATTTATTTCCATCACGCAACAAATTTTTATTAAGAGAGAGAACAAATAAGTTCTTCGTGCAGATCAATTTTTCAAGAGATTCTCATGTGCTTTTCAGTTTCAGCATTATTTCATAAAATATAAGAGAAAACACTATTAAGACAAGTAGATTATTTCACGGAAGGGAGAATATTTCACAGGGCTGACACTCATGAGAAAACAGCTTCGAGGTAGCCGGGAAGGAGACAAACAGCCTAAGTTTCTTTTTCACGGGTTTAAGGGGTCTGTTATATTGCACGGCAGTTGCGAGAAGCGTCGTTTGAAATGAGGCGAATCAATTACCGGGGATGGAAAAAAAAATCGGCGTAGCACAGTTGCAAACGAATAAGCGGCAAAAATACCCGGTAATGGCGGGACGACGAAAAGGCGATGACAAATGAAAGCCGAACACCTTATTCTTTATTCGCGAGGAACAGTATTTGCGCAGAAAGAGAAAAGTATCTCCATCGTATCATTGTATTATTCTGATATAACGCGTATTGTTTGCATTTACACAAATTGTTTTTTCCTTAATGAAGAATAACTTGACAATTATTAACTGTTCGTTATTTTAACGATTGACAATTTTTGTATTTTAAATCTTAAGTTGTCGAAAAAACAGGAATTTGGAGAAGCGACTTTGCTTTCTAAAATTCTGTGCGTTTTTAAAAAGTCCAAGTTCGCATGACAGATAGATGAGCTGTCATTAAGTTTTGTCACGCGTTCGACTTTCCAATCATCATCGATTAGAAATCACCAAGATAGAAACATTGCAACCATTAAACACTTTTACGAGCACTGGCGGCTTTTTCATTTAACTGCAAGCATTGCACGTATATAATTACGAGTGTCTTTCATTTGTATACACAGAGATGACATTAACCTTTTCACGATAATACGACACTAAGTATTTATTCAAGATTAAATATTCTACAAAATATAATAATAATAATTTATTTATATAAACATGTTCATCTTTATTCGTACCGTAATAATATCTACGTACCCTTTCAAGTTGGTCAAAATAAATACGTTA